CCGCCACCGTAGTATTGAGAGTAGCGTTTGCCACCGCCATACCAATCACCTCCAACGCCGGACTTGGCAGCGCCGGCTTTACCACCAGATGGATGGCCCATCTGCTGAGTTCCTCGAGAGAAGGGGGGTAGGTGTGCGCGCTCGCACAAGGTCACTGACGTGGTCTAAGCGAGACGATATGGCTGCGGCCGAGGGGATGAGATGAGAACAGGCGCGCTGGATCAGGTCGAGGCATAGGTTTACGAGGTCGTGTTTCTCTCTTTTGGGGTAAATTTGGCGCCGGGCGCGATGGGCGATTTTACCGGGGTGCCCTGAGCGACGCATGAAGGCCATGTCGATGGATATGGCGACTATAAAATCGATGGTATCTGGTCGAAGCCGCCCCCGATTATGAATGCGCCCTCAAAGCTCGGATCGAAGTTGCCCTAGTTCACGGCGGCGGAGACGGCCAAGGAAGGGGGGCATTTTTTTAGCTAGCTGAGTCAAGTTCCCGCTTAGAACGTGCACTTCATTTTTGCGCCGTGGCATGCAACGAAGACCGAAGCCCCAGACCACGAGCGCGTCAAGATATCGGAAGAGGACTGTTGTCACTGTTCAAACCCATGATCAAGTTCAAAAACCACAGCTTTTTATAGATTCCACTCATTTGCCGCCAAAGGCAAGTACGGCAAACACGGTAAGAAAGCATAATCGCATCGTCAACATAACGTCCTGTTGCTACCTCAAGATCTTCGGGATGTCGTCGGACGGGGCCTGGGGTTCTCGTCGTGCAAATACTCGAGGTAACGCAGTGCCATGTGTAACATGGCGCCCGAAAGAGGCCCACCAATGGGCATCCCAGAGAGCTGAGCGAGGGCGAGGCCTGAGCGGAAGAAGTAGCGAAACCTTAGGACGCCCTCGATTGCCTATTGAAACTCTGGAAAACAAAGGCTGTCCTATCCCAATGTCGCGCGCCGAGCTTGCCGCCCAAGACTACTTGCGATGTGGATGTGCGCATGACAGAAACAGTGCGCGCGCTGGGCATCCGCGCGGCGCGACCAAACAGGGAGTCCACAGCCAGGCGTATGTCGCGAGGCGCCAATGCCTCGCGCGCCTGACCCGCATAACAACAAATCCTGGATGGCCCGTGCACCTGCGACAGCGGACGCACACACGCTGCTGCGTGCCTGGGAGACAGTACGGAGGTGCAAGAAGTCCTAGAGCAACATCTAGCATTCCGAATGCCGAGTCGAGACCTTGGAAACTCCATCCTGGGAAGATGAGGTTGGTTCGGAAGACAATGCCTCTGGATATATTCCGGTATAAACGCCGTCCTGGAAGCCGGTAAAAACTGCATTTGTTCCATAGACACGAGTGCCCTGGCTGTTGGCAACGTTTTTTTTTCCAGTGTCCTGGAAGCATTTTCGCTTTACAGTAGGATAACATTATGGTAGGTGACGATAGCTTATACACCGTTGATGAGGAGGGCGCAGGCTTTTGGGCACGCTGAAATCACATGTGACCCTGTACCATTGTAGTATGTGTTTGTGGTAGGGCATTGAGGCGCCATCTGTCGCGTGCATGTGAAACAAGACCGAGCCACCTCATCTGCATGTGCCTGCCGCTGGTTCCCCAGAGCGCGCGTGGATCATTATCTTCAACCGTGAACGTGACAAACTGTTGTTCGAAGTCAAGTGCTGTGCACAATCTGCTGAGCGCCTGTATCTGTAAAGTCGGGGCCGAAGTCGACTTTGGCGTCGGCGCGGGGCTGGCCGCAACTGGTAGACACCGCAAGTAAACCACCGCCGTAGAGACGGCTAAGCCTCACATCACATCGGCTGTAAGCGTTGAAGGAGAGATGTCCGTCATCACTGAAAAACCATGGGACAGATCACTTACAGGAGTGCGAAAAAGATCTGAGCCCTGCGACGCGATCTGTAAGTCGTCGGGGGTGACAGATTGGAGGAGCTCCACGGGGGTCATCTGAAGGCCCGGATGCATGCACATGCAATGTTTTTGAAGCGCCGTTTGCGCAACAACCGCAATGCGCATCTGGCGTCGCACCAAGAGTGGCCAAGCAGGACGCGCGAAGGAAGCCTGAGCAATGACCGCGTTGAGCCATTGACGCACTATCTGTACATCCTGCTCTTGGCCCACAAGAATGTGAGCCCCTCCTGGCCGTGGAAGTCCATGAAGGGTGAGATGCGAAGCGATCGCGGCCTGAACAATCGACTTCTCACGCCAGAAAGGGAACCACCGTGCATAAGCCCCCTAAAGTGTAAAGACAATCTGGGCTACCATTCTTTGCTGCAATCACTTGTTGCCATATAATCAGAGAAGGTTTCCATGCTCAGAACCGAAGAAGAAGGGTTGCACATCGTGGATCAAATATGGAGATAGGACCAAAACTTTGCGTCTGCAAAACATGTCGTCGGGAAAAATAAAGTCGCATGCGCTGTAAAAAAAGTCCGCGTAGAACTGTTGCCCACTCTCGTGCCCGCTCTCGCTTCCGAGTGTGTCTAATATGAAACTCGCACAGTGCGCGAAACCGTGCTTGCTGCCAGGGATCTTTGAGAATGTAGCTCTTCGGGGTGCCGAGGGAGATGC